CACAGGTGTTTACTATCGCCATCATCAGGGCGATTCTCATATTTAATCTTACCACATTTTTATTAAAACAGTAAATCCCAATTATTTCCCGCATTTCTAAGGATTTATGAGACGCATTTTTAATATGATTTTGCCATATTGAGCAATTCTGATTGTGTAGAAACTTTGCGAGTGGCCGTAACTGGTTTGAGGCAAGTCCATATTCGGTTCGTTTATTGAATGTTGAAAAATAAGTACGCCGTATTAGCTACAGGTGTGTTTTGGGTTCGAAGTTTCTGAGTTGTTATTACCTTACTTGGATAATTATGTGGTATATATGCCCAATAATAGTTAACATTATTCCAGTTTACCCACACCCTACTGAGTTCTGGAAACGTCTTGTCTCGATTGTATTTATTATTACGCCCGTCTCATTGGTTTAGCGACTGCTTTGCGGGGAAGTCGCGTGCTTCATGGCCCTCAAACAGTCGTTCTCAGAACGTTAAATTTAGCTCGTGTGTGTTTTGTGGATGAGGTGCTGTGAACCCAGAAAAAGAACGACATTTTCAGACAGCGGCGTATTAAATAAAACTCGTCTTCGAACTGACCATGCTAAAACTGGCCCGTATTAGTAACCGTTTAATAGCGTAATGGTAACGATTAAGCAAAACGGAATTGCCTTATTATTCAACTTTTTAATGTGTCAATCAAGTAACTCAACTGTATGAGCAGTTTGTGAAAATGTAAAGTTTGTGTGATTTGAGGTTTTCACAGCGGTGAGTATGAAGATTTCCGTCTTCTGGGTTGTTGCGCCCTGATGACGGAGGCAGTATGACCTCTGAAACGTTGGTGGACATCGACCAGACTACACGGCGCAACAACCCAGAAGACGGAGATCTTCATACTCATCGCCCTGATGACGGAGGCAGTATGACCTCTGAAACGTTGGTAAACATCGACCAGACTACACAGCGCAACAACCCAGAAGACAGAAATCTTCATACTCACCATCGCCCTGATGACGGAGGCAGTATGACCTCCGAAACGTTGGTAAACATCGACCAGACTACACAGCGCAACAACCCAGAAGACAGAAATCTTCATATGTAAAGTTGTCTGTCTGAATAAACGCTGTGTCAAGAAGGTTTAGAGGGAACTTTTCGTTAAAACCCCTGGGATTATCTATCTACTACAGACATTGGTGAAAGTAAATGGTTAACTTCACGCTTTGGCTGCTTTTCCTCTACGGAAGAAACATCTGGTATTCTTTGAAGAGACGACTAGACGAACTGGCCTTCGGGCCGTTCCTTTATCCATCATATAGAATATGTTTCTCGTCCATTTTCTGTCTGTCTTCCTTATTTTATAGGCAGATGTAGGCTTATTGTGTCACGCAGGCCGAAACATTTTATTATTTTAAGAATGTTAAACATGACACTGCTTTGACAGCTATAACTAATGTGCAATTTTAGTTAGGCGTGTTAAATTTTGTATGGAGATAGATCATAAACATACCCACAGATTCTTTATGAAACGTTTTTATATGTTAGCAGTTATAAACAAATAATCGGCGAGTTTACGTCTGACAAATATAATATTATTGGAATCTTCCGAAGTAAACTGTGTCGAATTTTATAGGCTTGAATACTGATGTATATAGTTCTTGATAATCTCATTATATATAGTGTAACATCTAAGAGCAAATGGGCGTCGTAAGTTGTAAGAAGTTTTTGTTAGTACCTGACTTGGTAACTTGAAGCTGGCAACATTTATGTAATATGTTTATGTTGAGTTTGACACGCAATCGCCAGCCCGCGGCAGAATTCGTGATCTGCAAGAACTTGTGTTGCGGAGTAAAGACTTCCCAGATGTGAAGCTACTGCACACTCTTAAATTGCTCTCGTGCTTTGCAGTTTAACATGGCAGACGAAGACCCGTTGCAGGTATTGGCAGCGCGGTTAGGTATGGCGAATTAATTGTAGCCTGTTCTGAGAAAGATTATTATATTCAGCTTTTCAGGAAATCGTCTACGATTTATGGAACTCGAAGGTTCGTTACCGTGTTCACAAGAACTCGCCACTGGGCCTCATAAAAAATTCCAGCGAATTTTGTATGCATTTTTATTTTTCCCATGCGTGCTGCATATTTCGCCCTTGAGTTTATCACGTTTATAATATTTGGATAGATATTGTGAACTATAAGTTTGTTAAGGACATTGAAGTGAGTCACTAAGAAGTTTATTTTTTTTAATTTATGCGTTATGTTGGGTGTGAGTTGTGTCTTGGTTTCATTATAGGGCAAGAATATTCCGGATTAAATTTTGCTGTGCACTGTTTTATACTCCTTCATTACAATTTATGATGGCAGGTGGGATCTACTTCTGTATTCGCCACTCATGTGGTTTTTAGAATTAAAAAAAACAAATGAACGGCATCGTGTGTCTGAAATTAACAGATTAAGTAAACCTACTGTTTTTGTTTTCCACTGTCATCCTAACTGATCTCACTGAAATTTAACGTTTTGCGAACAAAACATTGTTTATCAATCTCTGCTCTGAGACGTGAACGTGTTGGTAAATAACGTACAGATTCTTCTGATAACTAATTGATAACTCCTGAAGGTAACGACACGTAAGTTTCTTTGTCATGAATGTTAATTTTCATGTTCTTTTCTTTGTAACGTCAGACATCTTGAGGTCAGCGGAGCTTAAACTTTTCACGTGTTTCACACTTCAGTACAAATTTCGTTATTGCTGACACGTCTAAACATGTTTATATGCGATGCCATATTTAATGCATTTGTGTGGTTTTAAACAAGAGAAGTCAACTTTTATTTTCAACATTAGTAGGAGTGATATATGCTCTAACGCGACGTTTGTGAAATAAAACGTAATTAAGTCCTATCCTTTGTAGTTGGATTGTCTTCTTGTTCTATTTAATTTTAATTGCTTATATTTTTGTTTTGAATTTTAGCATTTTCATAAATTTTCTTTGTCATTTCGTTGTGTATGTCCTGATACGATCGAACATTTGTTGCTGGATTGTCAATTTTTTTTTATGAATATGACTTGAAATTGTTTACAAATGATTAGAGTATGTTCTATGTGTTCACTAATTCAGATGACTACCTTTCCCATTAGTCCGAATTAGTGAGGTTTTGCTGCGCGTTCAGATTTCAGAGAAGGATAAAGGAGTTATTCTGTAGGCTGAAGCAAATGATTTTCTTAATGATGCCCCTGAGTGGGACAGGTGCATTTTTCACCCCTCCAGAACGCAAACACCACGACGTCCTGGTCCAACAACCCCTCTTTCTGAAGTACACTTGTATCTCGACCCATACTAATTTCTTACAGTTTTATCCAGAAGGCGTGCCCCAACGTCGACTCGGGGGGGTGCTGGCGCTTTACCTGTGCACCTGCAGACCCGCCGCAATTTCAGACACAGGTCCAGTTCAGGTGGCGCCTGAACGCGGATCGACGTGGTGTAGTAATGCCTCTCAGCTATAACAGATGAACGGATGCAAAAAAATCCAACTGTTGCATTAATTGTCTATTACGATCCCCCGGCTCTGTGCGTGTTTCATGACGCATGGATCCCCAAACCGGTTGCCACCTGCCAGGGAAGTATACCCAAATATGTTTTTATGTTTGTTAACACCAAACGTAGAGACTAGACTTGCTACGGCTTGTTTGGATGAGAAACGTTACCTAACCTTCGTTGGGTTGTTGCGCCGTGTAGTCTGGTAGATGGCCACCAACGTTTCAGAGGTCATGCTGCCCCCGTCATCAGGGCGATTTACAACCAGTTACATTTTGAAAGAGTGCAACAGTGCATAAAATGTAAGACGTCCATAGCAGAGTTTCTTAACAAGTGGTGATTCTGTATGTTGCAGTGTTTCTAGAATATGATTTGATTCTTTATACATCATTTAACAACGACGTTGTAACATTTGACGTTATACAGCGTTAGATGTGATAAGAACTTGTTGTTTATGAATGGTAAATAGATAAGTCTGTGCAAAATGTGATTAAGTGGTTTGAATTCCCATTTGGTATTCGTAAGTCCCGGATTCGATTCTGATCCCTGAAGCTGGTTATCGTGACTGGTGGGTTTGGGGTTTGCCCATAGACTGTTGTTAGGGTAGTATTTTAAAATTGTCCACTGTAGTTTCCTTCTACATCCCAGTGTGTCCATCATCATGCCTTTTGATTCTGTTTAACCAGTGTAGTTGAGAAGAAGTCGTTAAATTTAAATGGAAAGAGGTTGTGAGACGTATTTTAAAGTACGCTGTTTACCATTGTGCCGGATTTGTGCTTAATACGAACTTGACTAATCAACTGCTTGCTCTTTGCTTGGTATAATATATTGCTTGGGAGTCCTGTAAAATGAATTTCTGGTTAGGCACATATCATCTGTTGCATGTCAAAACATCGTAGTTTCTCTGTACTTAAGGTTCCAGCTTCTGGTAAGAACCGATTAGTACGTCAGATTTATTATGCCACCGGCGGCCTGACCATAAGAATCTGGATATGTAGATTCCTTTATCAGCTTAAATGTTTGGTGTTCCGGATGGAATATTGAGGCGAAAACTAACATCAACCTTGAAGGTGGAGACAGCACGTTTCTCCGAAACGTTGGTGTCTATCTACGAGTCTGCGTGGTGTCAGAAACCAGAAAAATACATCGTCATTTTTGTAAAGTGCCGTTTAGAGATGTGAGGACCGTAGATTATTATCTGAGATGTAGTGGCTTTGAAGCGATACAGGGCGTTTTTCGTCCCAGGTTTTGTTCAAAATTTGTGAAAATTAAGTTGTAGTTATTAAAATCAGAAATATAAGTTGAGGTGGGCGACTTCTTATTTTGGAACATTTAAATCAAAGTGTGGTGCGTACACTCTTTTCATATCCTGTTGTATGCATTGTTTTTATCCGTCTCTTATTGTGTAGGTGTGTATGGTTTTTAATTCATGTCCGCTTGTGTATTTACAACGCTCATCGTGAATGTTTCTCGTTTGCTTTTCAGGAGAATGTTCCCAACGTAGGAGCGGGTGGTGCATTCATCGTACAGGCGGTGGTGAGTTCGGGATGTTATCGGTGGCCTAACAGACGCTTGCCATTTTGAATAGGCCTGTTTTATTATTACCTAGGACTGCTATTTTCATGTTACCGAACAAAATAATTTTATCCCACGTAGCTATTATACTAAATTTCCTTCGATTTAATATTAGTCTAATCAGCGACGTATTTGGATAAATATTAAATGTTATGTCACGTTATGCAGGTGTTGAAATCCCGTGGTGCGTACAGTAGTCGAGACGAATCTGTGCGTTTCACGTCTGTTGGAAGTAAAAATCGGGGATAGGAGCTCTTGGGAGTAGTGGCAGATAAGCACATTCTATCCATACTATAAACATTATTGCCCAGCGGCAATACTTTGTAGCTCCCTATGTCAGTTCCAGTGTCGGTAATGTCTTGGTTTACGTAGTATATGCGTTCGTTTTCCTTCCACCCGCAAGCTAGTGACGTAGACGAAATGCACAGTTTTGTTCCGGCTACTGTAAATGCCATTTGACAGCGTGTCCGAATTGCAGATATTAAAGAATAAGAGACGGTTGCGGGCTCTGGTGTTGTCGGTGTTGAACCTACGGGTTTTGCCACCAGGGAGTTAGTTTTATTAGATTAAAGACAGTTTAGTTTACCTCAAAAGTGATGTTGGCAGCATTGAAATAAATTGTAGATATAAACAGTAC